ATGGAGTTGGGAGATACAGTCTGAGGACAAGATTGCCCCTGCAGTATAAGCATTGGTAGAGGTAAAAGAACTATCTAGTGACTGGCCTCTCTGCTTCTCTGATCTTCAGCATTAACCTCTATATCTGACTCTGGGTTTTTATTATTGAGACTAACTAGAATTTGTGGTACAGCCCTCGGATGTCCTCATGGACACAGGTTGTGGCCCGGAACCTGGGCATCTATGTGGCCTTTGGTGGCACCGTGGGCTGCAGACGTCAATCAATATAGACCCTGGTCATGATAGAACCATGGAATCAGACATGGTGCTAGATAGCAGCCTGAACTCGGATGTCACCATGGTCCCAGGGGAAGCACAGGCCACCCAGATCAGCATGACCACGCAACAGTATGGCTTTTGGATACCAACATGGCCCCAGATGGCAGCCCACGGGCTAAGGACATCAACAAAGACCTCATTAAGATAGGTACCACAGACCCAGACATGGTCCTCAGCAGCAGCCTGGGCCAGGTTCTCAACATGTCCCTGGGTGTCTCCGTAGGCCACCCAGATTGGTATGGTCCCCATGACAGCAACATGACCCTAGGTGGCAGCCCAGACAGTAGACCCCTCACGGTTCCTAGGCATGACAGGAGCCACAGACATCAACACAGGCCTCCTTGACTGTTCCAGAGCCCTGCAGCATTAAGACCTGACCCTTGGTCATAGCCAAGCCCTGACATCACACTGTACTTGGGTGGCCAGCAGACCATTCATGTCAGCCCTTTCCTCATCAACCTCTGCTTTTCAGACCCGCCTCTCTCCATCGCCCACAAACCACTCCACCTCTTCCTCCGTCCACATCCCCACCCTGCACTCTCTCACTACAGTGGTGCCAAACTGCCCAGTGCTAGGGCTTTTGGTTGGGTCACAGATGGTACTTGGTTGAGTACTGCCTGCCCCAGTCATAGAAATGGCATGGAGCTGTTGTTTTTCCTCTCTTTGGTGCTGGAGCCTGGAGATCTCGGGCAGCACTTGGTATGATGGTTCCTGTTGATTGTGACTCCTGCAGACCCAAAAGTCTGTTGCAGGGGTGGGGTGGAGGGGGGGGGTGGGGGCAGCTGCCATCTGTGTCCACCACTGATTCAGGTCCAGGTGGGGCCAGTAGTTCCATTTGCTTCTGGTAGCTTTTGATGTTACATGTAAGTCTTTAATTTACTCTGACTTGAATTATTTTATTTTATTATATAGTAGTAGTATTATATGTAGATAATTCCCCCAAGATAATTTACTGAAGACTACTTTCAGCATCTCATATTCTTGGAAACTATCAATGATCACTTAACTGGGAAGGTAAGATGGCTCAGTGGGAAAAATACTTGTTATGTAAGTCCGATGACCTGAGTTCAATATCCAGAACTCATATAAAGGTGGACAAACAATTGCGCAAAATTCTTCTCTGATACACTCTCTCCCTCTCCCCACCTTTCACTCTTTCCACCCAAACTAATGAATAACTACAAAAATAAAACTCTAAAATTTAATCATAAATGCATAGTGTAAAGTTTGTACAGCTTGATAATCAGACAAAATCAAACTGAATTTTAAAAAAAGCCTAGGTTTAATGGGTGTCAGCACTTCTGGGTGACCCTCAGGAAAACATGGAGAGGGGAAAGGAAGACCAGAAGACCACGTGTTCATTCTCTGGGGAGCAGTTTAAATAGCCTGTGGGAGTGGTCTTGACCCTCTCTTGGAAGGGGTCACCTTTTGGCAGACTTTCTCGGAGGTGGAGTCTGAATTGGGGCAACTCCCAAGGGGAGGGGGCTTAAAATGGAATTTTCCACCCAAACATTCCAAAATGGGTGTCAGGGACTGGGGTGAAGCCCCAATCCAAACATTGCAGACTCTTTGGATATAGGGGTGTCAGCAGCTGAGGTGACACTTCCAACCAAACACATAGGTATTTGTTTTAGGGGTTTTTTTTTTTTTTCCTCTCTGATGAAACAGCAGGACTATCAGCAACTTGGGTAAGGAAGTGTTTCTTTGCCTTACACTTTTCCAGCACAGTTCATCATCCCAGGAAGTCAGGACATAAACTTCAACAGGGCAGGAACCTAGAGGCAGGAGCAAACACTGCGGTCAGGGAGGATTGCTGTTTATTGATCTGCTTTCTTGTACCACCCAAGATTACCAGCCCGGGGGGTGGCAGCACCCACAGTGCATGCTGTGCACCCCCACATCCATCATCAAACAAGAAAATTCACATAGCTCTGTGGAAAGACAGACGTTACAAGGCTCCTCTGACTCCCTCACTGATGTAACCCTCCTCCCAACACTGATGTAATCGTGGGGTTTACCTTTAAAACCACCAGTGCCTCTGAGCTCTGGCATCAAAAGAGATTTTGAAGGCAATACCCTATTCTTGGCCTGGCCATTATTAAAGGACTCATTCTCTGAATTGGCTTAATTAGCATGCATGCTGGTAATTGTCCCACGAGGATTGTTTCCCTCTGAATTGAAACATTCCCACAAGGAAAGACTTGGGTACTGAACGGGCTTCACATGGATGGAAAGAATCGAAGTGAGAGCGTTCATGGGGACCCCTTGCCAAGGATATATGGATACAGTAAATAGCTGCTGGGAGAGGCGACCAGTCAATCAACCTAGCTACCAAGAGGAGACACTGCAATCTGTCTAACTGCCAAGAGGTCGTGCAGAGAGCTCTGGGGATTTTATCCCTTGCACTCCATGTTTGGGAGGGCTTTGGTGATGCAGCTGTTTTGAGTCATCTCTGCTCCTGTACGGAACCCCAAGAAATAACCTATGTCATGCTGCTTACCATATTGATGCAGTACACTTTGATAAGTTCCTCTTGTCTTGGTGATTTAATTAGCCATCTGTTTTTGTTTGTTTGTTGAGACAGGGTTTATCTGTGTAACTGCCCTAGCTGTCCCACAACTAGCGTTGTAGACCCACCTGTCTCTGCCTCCCAAATGCTGGGGTTAAAGGCGAGCGCCACCATGGCCTGGCTCTATCTTTGGGTTTTGAGAACTTGATTAGGTCAGGGTATTTTTACATTTAATATCAGTAGGGTTCACGCATATGCATACTGTTTTTTCACTTTTGATATGATAAGATTCTGACATGTCTCAAACAACTCCTCACCTTTCCCGAGAGGAAACCAATATCCAGATGCAAGAGTCCTGCCAACAATAAATACATGGATCTTCAGCAAGGAGAGTGTAATAGCTGCTCTGTTGTTGTTGCTTCTTAGGAGCAGAACATTCCTTAGGCCTTTTCTCCCTAAGGGCACCCCTCCATTTATACCAGCGCAGATCACTGTCAACAGATTAGCCTCCCCCACAACTAGGAGACAGTACCACACAGAGTGAGCGCCCATTCCCATTTCAAACAATACAATGAAGACAGTCTTTCCCAGACGTGCCTACAGGCCACACTAATCTAGACAATCCCTCATTTAAATGTCCTTCCCAGGTGATTCTAGACTGTGTCTGGAATATAATTAATACCATCACAGCTTCTTTTCGTTAAATTGTTCATTGCTTTTTCCATGTATTGTTTCATATTTTTTTTTAGTTGTCTATGCTTACATGTAGAATATTTGAACTTCTTTCAGACAACTGTTTGGAATTCTTTTCCAGGCACATTTTATATTTTAGGCTTGTTTTGGTGGGGGAGGGGTCAGCAATTAGTGATTATTCTGCAGCCTTGGCTGTATAACATTTAATTCTCATCGTCTTATGTTGGTGTCTACACACCCGAAGAAGTAGCTACCACTTCAAATATTTCTAAACTATTTCAGCAGGGAAAGCTGTTTACTAGTTTAACCAGAGTCTGTGGGTGGTTTATCTGATAATAACCTCAGAAGGTTGCTCACAGGGGTCTGTTCCAAGGGGTTATCCTGGGCGAAAAAAGTGAACAGTAGGCAAAGGCAATAAACCCGAAATACCCTTGTAGATGGTAAAATTCATTGAATTTTTATATAGTCACACAGTCAAAATTATCATCAATTTCAAAACAAAAGAAATTCTGTAGCCACAAGCAGAACACGACATTAACTATGGTAGTGATGAGCACAATGTCTTGATAAATCCCCTTCGATCTAGTGCTCAGGTCAACACGCCACCCTCCCGCTGACATGACGCACAGTGTCCTTTCAGGAACTAAGCTCCGTCACTCTACATGTTTGAAGATGAAACTGCAGTCAGTCACTGACAACTAAGAAGGACATGTGGGTGGCCAAGAGAAAGCTTTATTGTTTTATGCCACTAAGATTAGGGATAATTTGCATGAAGAACAAGGTAGCCTGATATGACTCATACACACATAACAAAAATCTGATGAGAGATTACTTAGGAAAGGAAAACTTTATTTTTAGCTGTTCAGAATCTGCGCCTCAGCAATGACTCTGAATGCTAACACGCGTCTTTAAATAGAATGACTAAAATAGGGCAATTTCAAGTTAGATGATCTCTAAAAGAAACAGAGGACAGTGACTTCACTGAGTTGAGAAAGGACAGGAGCCCTTCATTTTCCATGGAGGCGCTGCAGTGGGAGCCCTTCATGGACTGTGTTCTGCTGAGGAGAGCACGAAAAGGGTACTATACTCACACCTTTTCTTTTTTCCTTTTACAGTTTCTTTCTAGAATTCTATCAGCAATTTTCTTTGGTCTGTACTATGATGTCAGAGACTTAATTCTCTCCCTGACGGTCACTTGTCTTTTGGCTACAATGTATCTAACCTGCTGACACAGCAGATCCAAGTTTGGTTCCCAGTACTCACACTGGCTGGCTCATAACCATCTGTAACTTCAGCTTCAGAGTATCCGTCACCTCTTCTAGTCTTTACAGACACAGTACTCACATGCACAAAGCCACATTAGAAACACACGCACGACCACACACACACAGACATACACACAACCATACCACACCAAAGTAAATCTGTAAATACAAATTAAAAAGTTCTAACGTCACAGGAAAAAATGTTTCACTCATGCTATTGTTCACTCAATATTTATTAACTAAGCCAAAAGTTGTTTAAATTTACTTCAAAGAGGGAGATATTTCTGAAAAAAAAAACTAGAACAGAAAGTGCAGTACCAATATTAGAAAAAGGTTTGAGAATTTTCTCCTTGAATTTATTTCCAAAGAAGCAAATGGATTTTGTCTGTTGTCTGAGAGATTCCTGAATTCTAAGCAATGTATATTTCTATTACATATATTTTTTGTATTCAAATGTGCCACAACTTTACATACGTTTAAAATAAGCCTTCAGAATATAATTAATAATATTGTACTAAGAAATTTCTTCTATAGAGTCTATTTTGATAGATAAAGTGCTTACAACCAAGGACTATATACATTCTAAACAAGCATTTTAAATTAAATTTTGGTATTTACTAACTTAAGTACTCAAGAACTTGGGTCGAAGAATCAAGCAAACTGAAAGTCTGTTTATCAAGAGAACTGTTATCCTCTCCCAATGCAGAGATTTTGGAATTTCTGTATTCCAAGAGTTCATGATCCTTGCTTGATGCCAATAACTCATTATTAGCTACACCAATAGTTGCATCTTCTACCAAAATATTTGCCTGGTATGGTCCAACTGGGATTTCAGGTAATCCAACGTAGTCGTGATCTGCTACTACCGAACCTTGTAAGAGATAAAGACTGTCTGAAAGAGAGAGATCAACATTTAATCTTAGAATTGAAGGCAGACATCATTTTAAAGTTAAGCATTAAGTGAGGAACAAAACTCAAAGTAATAAAAAGTTATGAATGTTAAAAAAAACAAAAACAAAAAACTGTCTCAAAAACCCAAACCCAACCAAACAACAAAAAAACCAACCTCCCCTCCCAAACCAAACTTCTTACACATTAAACATACACAAAAGCAAACAAAATTATGTATATACACACAAACACACACACACACACACACACACACACACTATTCACATATAAAGAACGTAGGACAAAAGCTTCCTATTTCCTTGAGTGGTCCTTGGTGCACATGATCTGTATAGGACAAAGAGCAGGAGTGATACAGGTTGAAACAAAATTATATAACTATAATTTTGATAATGATATCCTTAATATGCATATACAAAGCACATATGTCTGAATTAATAAGGGTATTTAGCCAACTGAATTGCTAAACTCTTATATTTCTAATTTCAGATGCCTTCCAATTTGTACAGAATTCACAATAGTACAATTACATTAATGAGTTATAATATAAAGCTATAAACTAGATGAAGATAAAGTAGCCCAAATCTGACTCATGTGGCAGGAATGTGTGGAAGGCAAGCTTCAATGAAGCAGCTAACCTTTTATTTAAGTTGAATCTGATAACAAAAACCTCAGAAATGTTCAAGATCTACCTAATCTAAGATCTACTTCATTTACACTCAACAGGGAACTTTTCCTTGTCAGTATTTTGGTATACTATAGGAAAATATTCATTAACTCCCTGAAAAACACGTTTAAAATAAGTTGTTAAACTAATAACAAAACAGCAACCTCCTTCAATAGAAAGAATACAATAGAAAAAAAAAGATTCTTCCAGGTCTGATATTCTAATTCATTACAAAAGGAACTCATCTACCATAGCTGGTTAATGTCAGCATTAATTAGAATTAATGAATTCTTTTTCTGGATTATTTCCCAAACATGAACGGATTCTCCTAAAGATTTTAATGGTTTATAGAACCCTCCAGTCTAAGTGTAGGAAAAGAAGACTAATTGCCCATTTAGATCAGAGATCAGTGGGCATCACACCAGAATTGTTGGTTTGTTTGGAAAAATGAACCCTCTCTAGAAGTTCATACATTTAAAAACTTAAAATTTATGAACTTTAGTAACTCTTAGAAATTCACACATTAAACAGGTGGCAGAAATCGGCTTATGTGGGAGTCTCTGTAAAACAGAGATATGATCTAAGAGAGGCAAGAAGGAAATCTGATCTAGCACGACTTAGCCTGGTTCAAAGTTCTAGAGGCTGACACCAGGCATTTTATTTTAACCATATTTAAGGCATAGCACATATTTAGAAAGAAGTTTCCTGATAATTAGTTAACTCAATCCCATGTGAACAACAAAGTTTAAGACATGTTTACATTGGAACTTTTTATAAAGTAGATATGGTTTCTTACATAAGGATGGGTACTGTTGACTCAGAAACAATCAAGATAAGAGTCTAGGGAGAATTACTGAGGTAAGTCAAATAGCCTGCAGGAGTCAGGATTGGTCTGGCATGAAGATTAACAAAAGTTACCTAGGCTGTTGTAAAGCACAACTAACATCTCTTGTAAAAAGTGACATTGCTCATAAAGATGAGTTGTATTGACTGAGAGGCAATGCTCAAAATGTAGCGGGGGAAAGTCTGGGATAAACAAACATAATAGTCTGGTGGATTCGGGTGAAGCCTGGCGCTACAGATAGCAAAACATCACCAGGTAATAAACTACATCCATTTCCAGCATTCTGGGTGGAAAACAGGTAAACACCTCCTTCCTTTGAAGAGACAAGCAGGAGGGTTTAATTGTCCTGTTTTCCTTTGTACTTACTTATGTGCACAAGGGCCTCATACCCTCTACAGGCTTGGGCTTAGACAGTCATTTAGTTCATTATTATGCAAAGTATTACACTTTACTAATTCTCATGAAAGAGTATGTGGTGTTTAGACTTAAAATAAAATTCAGAAGATAAATAATTTGTGGGGGAATGAAAGTACACAGGGGCAAGAGAATGATGAGCTGCATGCTGGGTGGGAGAACTGATGCACAAAAGGAACAATTTTGGAAGACCAACTACAAATCATTCAGCTGATGATGACTGCTTTCACCAAGAGCATCAGGAAGATGAACAAGGGTCAATGAACTTAAAAGGGAGAATATTATTAGAAAATTAACATGGAAGCTTACTTATTGAATTATGCTTAATACAAAAGGTCAGATACTTCATAAGCTCAATTAAAAGGCTAGGTATGACAGAAAGTGTTGTTGAGTTTAAAATATTCACGAGGAATTTTGTAAGTTCAATGTCTATATGTTAAATGGCATCAGCACTGATGGCAGACATCATAGCACCTAAGGTATGTTAGGTGATGTCATATTGATGGAAGACACCATAGCATCTAAAGTATATTAAGCAAGATCATAGCTGATGGCAGATACCACAACACCTAGAAAATTTACAATGAGTTTTTCAGAGATGGTTGACGAAGGAGGTTTTCTGTAATTTTTTTCATATAAGTGAGTAGGTTAGTTTATTGTAACCCTAGACAAACAGCCAACTCCACAGTATTCTAGGTTGTCTTATTTTAGAAAACTATGCTCAGTAAAGAAAACATTATCAGTGAAGAAAATGTATCTAGATGCAAAGCTCTCAGAAGTTGATTTCTTGAATCTGTGCTCAGGGACTTACATTTAGGCTTGTTTTAGTTACTTGGCCTTGGGAAAAAAAATCTTACCAACATCACCGATTATTAAGAGGAAATATTACACACACACAAACACACACACACAGAGAGATGTATATGTACATATACATGTAAATATCTTTGTATGTACTTATTATGTATGCATGCTATACAAACACATGCATTTTTCCTTTCCACAAATGATGGCTCTTAAAGTATCTTATTATCTGCAAAATGGTATCTGCAAAACCATGCAGAGTATGGATCATACTTATAAGAATTACTGTGAAAATGTCCAGGCCAGTTCATATAGTAAAAAAACCTCATTCATCCATAAGGACCAAATATGTTTCAATTCTAACTACAGTCTAACTGGACCCAGTTCAAATGTGATTCAAAACAGATTATCAAAAGACAGACTCTTTTAGGACCTCCCAAGTATGCAAATCCAATAGTTTCCATATATTGTTAAATGAGACACCATGTTCATCTTTTTCTATTTAAAATGTGCTAATAGAAAATTTAAAACTACATGTCATGTAAACTTTGTGTCATTGGACAATACTGGCATGGATATACAAGAATCCCGAGGAAAGGATACAGAAAAGAATGTCAACATTCGTACTTTTAAGGCAGGGACAAACACCGTATTAAAGGAGTTTTCTACCAAGTTACATTATACAAAATATGCTGTATTACACAGTTTTCTTTTCTCATTCTATTGACTCAGTTGTGATTATGATGAAAACACATTTAACAAAGGTAGTAACTTCAACTTTGAAAAGGCTGAATAATGTTTCCAGTTTTTTTGGAACTTAGACATTTTCAAGACGTTTTTACAAACTTTCTCTTACGTGGTTTCAGGGAACAAAAAATTTAATATCAGGAAATAGGTATTTAAATTTTTAAGAGGGAACCTACATTTAATGATCACAAATGATTTAGGTAAATAAGGTTTCTCATTGAGTTAGCTTTCTTATTCTTATGTGAGGTGTCAAAATAACTAAATTTTCAAACTTATACCATATTGTACTTCTAATATATCCTTTTCATGATAAGACAACTGTAATTTGATACTATATTATTATTGTTATAATATCAATAGTGGCCATCATTAATGAACTGGATGGGCTCTGGGTCTGGAGAGTATGTAGCTAGCTATAAGGAAACCATAATACTAATAATGTGGAGATCATGGGTTTAGTGTCATAAAGCATTAGGGCACTATGGCATTACGACACATTGTTTTATTGAGACTGTTCACTGTCATCAACACAATAATAATCTCGTTACCCATTAATCTCTGTAACCAGTGGATATGTAGCTTTACATGGCATGAAGGAATTTGGGTAGTCATGAAATTAAAGCTGCCTCTGATATGATCTTAAAAATAGTGAGATTATTTTAAAATATTTGGGCAGGTTGAAGGACAAAGGCTCTCAAATGGAGAAGAAGAGGGATGTAAGTGGGATATGAGGCATTGCTGGCTTTGGGAACAGAAGAGAAGAACCAGGATAAGGAAGCAGCTAGAACAGTGGCTCTCAGCTTGTGGGTTGTGATCCCTTTGGGGGCCACAGGGGTTGCATATCAGATACCCTGCTCTCCAGATATTTAGATTACAATTCATAGCAGCAGAAACACTAGTTATGAAGTAGCAACAAAATAATTTTATGGTTGACGTCAGCACAACATAAGGGACTGTATTAAAGGGTGGCCGCATTAGGGAGGTTGAGACCACGGAGCTAGAACCTAGAAAGGACAAGGAAATCCATTCTCTTCTAGATACTCTAGAAACAGGACTCTGCCAATGACTCAGTAACAGCCCACTAATACCCATGTAGGAATTCTAAAGTACGTAAGTTTATGGCAATAATATTTGAAGCACTAAGTCTGTTGCAAATTGTAATGGCAGCAAGATGAAACTTGCTAGTGAAAAATTATTTCATAAATAGGCTCTTTTTTTTTTTAAAGAATGCAACTAAATCTTTGGTGAAGTAGACCCAAATCTATTATCAATCAAGCAAATAAATTAAGAGCCAGACTGTGTTGGATGGGACAGTAGGTCAGCACCAAAATTATCCCTTTAAAATGAGATTATGATTACAAAGGGACACTAGTATATTTTTAAAAAATTCTTATCAAAATAAGGAGCTTAAAAGTGTTCAGCATCAAATCAAACAAAACAGCAAACAGGCCTGCTTAAAATAGCAACAGCAAATACTTCTAACCCAGTACTGAATGTGTTAGCTCAGTGTTACATTCCAGATAAGAACGATGGGAACTTGGCAACATAAGTCCACCTGTTTAAGACTGTGACTCTAACACAGCCAAGAAGTCAACAGCAGTACAGAGTAACATGACAGATATAAACAGACACTTCAACTCCTTTGGGATATTGGGTTTTTAAATTTATGTCAAATAAAAATGTTTGATGGCTAAAGAGACTGTTTTTATTAAATTCACTTTGGGGACTCTTCAGGGTCAGCTGCTGAGGGAAAGGTATTTAGGGAAATGCATGTTGCTGAGGAAAAAGATGAAATACACCAAATTTCCTTTGTATTTCTGCCAATGAAACCACACACACACACACACACACACATACACACACAAAGGACCAAACACTATTGAAGAACTAGTTCAGAGCATGGTTGGTAGGAAACTTGAAAATAAATCCACTTACAAACTTCAAATGTGTGTGTTCACACCAATAGTAACACTACACTTTTCTTATATTACTAGAAGAAACATTCCAGACAGCTTAAACACACAGCGAGAAGCATATTGCTTCTATGTGGACAGCTGTCTTCTCTGCTTGTTTCTGACATGCTCGGATGGAAATTAGCTGACTTCCGATCTGAATGTCTCTGATAAGAGAAAACTGAAGAGTGCTGCATAAGATCTTGATGCAGCAACATTTTATAAGCAAACTTCGTATGGATGAAGATTATCATGAGAAGGAAATACATTCTGAAGGGGAAGGAGGAACCTTGGTGGGATTAAAGAACTCATACAATTCCTTTCCCCCCACTTAGTGTGTAAAAGGGAGAGTCTATAAACAGCTCTGAAGTGAGAAGACACACAGAATGAATATACTGCCCTCTTACAGGGAGGATGAAATTACCAGGTGTTTGGAGTCAGAACAATCTGAGCTAAGCTTCTGACTAGAGCAACTGGTTCCATCATGAGAAAGAAAAGTACCAAGAGCTATTAACAAAGTGCTGGAGTCCAGAAATGGGTAAGAACTACTATACGGAAGAGCCCCATAAGGCCTTCATATCTCAACAAAGGAATTCAGGTTATTGCTTATTGCTTGTTATTTACTTGTGTCTAGTAAGTAACTTGTTTTGATATTTAAAAAATAAATTACATCACCATCAGATGTAACTTGCATTCAAATAATATTAATCCATCATTTTCTTCTGTTTATATAATATTTATTCATTGAACAAAATGAGCAATGATATGCATTGCATGAAAATGTTGCGAAGTACTATGCTCTTTACAGAAAATGCATAATTATAAAATAAGAATCAAATAACATCCTCTCATTTATCTACCTCAGAGGAGTTCAAAGAAGCAAATACAGTAGGAAGAAATAAAATAATCTTGAAATGGTGTAGGAGATTCTTCTATGTGTTGCTTTCATTCGTTGAATAAAGAAACTGCCTTGACCTTTTGGTAGGGCAGCATTTACAAAACTGGAGCAGACAGAACTGAATTCTGGGAGGAAGAAAGAGAGTCAGAGAGAGAGAGAGAGCCGCCATGGAGCCGCCAGGTCAGACATGCTGAATCTTTCCCGGTAAGCCATGACCTTGTGGTGATAGACAGATTATTAGAAATGGGTTAAATCAAGACATGAGAGTTAGCCAATAAGAGGCTGGAGCTAATGGGCCAGACAGTAATTTAATTAATACAATTTCTGTGTGATTATTTCGGGTGTAAGCTAGCCAGGCAGGAAGGAACTACGCTCCTCACAACATTGAAGAAGTAAGGGGACTTAATCTGAAAACCATGTCAAAATATCATTCAAAGCTGGGTGGTGGTGGCGCATGCCTTTAATCCCAGCACTCGGGAGGCAGAGGCAGGCGGATCTCTGTGAGTTCGAGACCAGACTGGTCCACAGAGCTAGTTCCAGGACAGGCTCCAAAGCCACAGAGAAACCCTGTCTTGAAAAAACAAAAAAAAAAAATATTATTCAAGGCCTATAAAGGCATGCCCGTTGGCATAGTCTTGGGCATTATAACACTCCCATAATTATAATATTATAATAGAATATAATAATTATAATTATATTTAATCATATTTATAATTAAGTGCACATAATTATGGGAATGCCATAATTCTATGGTCTGATAGCATTCTGAATATTTCACATACTACACCCTTACTCATCCCAACCTATGACCCAATTATGAAGCCACATTAAAAGGAAATAAAGTTCCCTTATTTATCTCACAATTAGATTCTGGACAATATGTTTGTCTTTGGCAGTAAACAATCATAGCTGCTGTTTTTCCACATAAAAATAAGGCAAAAGTAGCAGAATATTATACAAAACTGTAGATGGAATCTTTCCTTTTTTGAAACAGGTTCAGCATTTTTCACAGCAATTATGCAAAGTTAATAGAAGTCCAAACAAAAATCCTGTTTGTTTTTTATAAACTACTACTGCTACTATATGCCTGCTTATTTTCTAATAAGAAAGAGAAAGAATGGTTTTGGGTCGGAGGGAAGGTGAGGAGGATCTGGGAGGAGCTGGAGAATGGGAAAAGGCAATCAGAATATATTGTATGAAAAAAATCCATTTTCATCAAAAAAGTTAAAAAAATGTTAGTAAAAGTACACTCTAATCAGATTACTAGGGAAAACTAAAACTCTATCAAATACTATAAAATTTAGAGGAGGAAGCAGTTTAACCAAAAGAGAAAAGATTGTTTGAAATTCCAGTCTCTTTTTGCAGAAAAGATAGCACACTAGAGGAGCTACAGACACTTACCTTGCTCAGCGGACTCTCTCACATAAGGTCTAAGATGGGACATTTTGATAGGCCTTTTAAGCCTGGTCCCAGTGTTATCTCTCAGGACAGCACATCCACCTTCTGTAATATAGTCTATGACACAAGGACCAACCCATTCAGACTGGAAACGGCCATCTTTCCACCAGTTCTTCCTTTGTCTTAAAACTTCATGACCCACTTTTAAGTGAAAAGGATTTAACTGCTTTGGTTTCTTTTTAACACGCTTGGTTTTGTTTAGTTCATCCAAATTGTTTTTCTCCATCTGTAAATGAAAGACCATCATGACAGGACTTACGTTTAAATGCACAGGCTGATAAGACTATGGCAGTGGGGATTTGCTGAGCTGTGAATGAAAGGAAGGACTGAACCCTAATTAGTTCTTTATTGAAGTCAGCATCTCTCTCCTCACACAGATGGTAATCAGGCTGAGTGGCTCTGAGAACTTGCACTAGTAAAAGGACAGAGTGCAAAGCTTCACAGCTGCTGACAAGGATACAGAAACCAGGCCTTCCCAATCTCTCCAAAGCCATAGCTTTGCCAGCAGTCTCAGAATTTCATAGCTTACAAGCAGACTTCTTAGGGTTGGGAAAGATATTCAGTGATAAAAGCCTGAACTCGTTAGGACCTGAGTTCAGATTCTGTGCACCCACTGGACACAGTAACACACCACATCTGTAGCCTCATAGTAACGCACATCTGTAGCCTCCCAGTAACGCACCACATCTGTAGCCTCCCAGTAACACACCATATCTGTAGCCTCCCAGTAACGCACATCTGTAGCCTCATAGTAACGCACATCTGTAGCCTCAGCAGCTGTGGGAAGGGGCGAGACTGGCACAGGCAGGTTCACTCCGGTCAGACTATGCAGCTGAATTAAGGAGCTCCAGTTTCAGTGAGGGACCTTGACTCAAACACTAAGGCTGAGAGTGAGGAAGACAGTGGATGTCTGTGAGCAGCCTCCACACACATGCTCACACCTGTGCACATGCACCTGCACAAACACATCCTAATCTACATAAAGCACATACACACAAAAACAGTGAACAAGTATATTACTTAACCAAAATAAGCAGAACTTGGAAGATAAAACCTTTTATTTTCTTGCTTAAGAGTATATCATGTGCACATACATGAACATGTCCACATGCTGAGATTTTAAACATAATTCCTCTTTTGTAGGGCTTCACAGAACTTTTCTAGTAGACCAAATTACCTGGCTGGCCGATGGTGTCTTGTTCTCCAGTACTGCATCAGCCTCTCTGACTGCAGCTACGATTCTGGCAAACACGCTTGTATTTTCACCACCCGCTTCATGAGGACACTCCTCCAGCACACATGGGTTCCGGTTAAACATTTGGAAAAATGGTGTGTTCTTAGTAGACTCTGAGCGCGTCACATTGAAGGCAAAGGAAAGCGCTGGCAGGTATTCATCCCAGGTGTTGGGGTGCTCGGCACAGTATTTGGAGAGAAAGGCTTTGACTGTGCTCGGCATACTCTCAGATGGATGGACACTTCCAGAAGCATGAGAAATTACAATCTGTTTTGTACCGAACAATCTATACAGTTCTGTATTGATCTGAAACATACAAAAAACAAAACTGAATGTTCAATATTCGTATAATTCCTCTGGCTTAAAAAAGGTTTCAAGAAACCCAACTCTTGTCTTTCACTGACCATAGGCATTCAGCTAAAATATGTAAGCATTCTGGGTAGAATTCCACTGACTGGGTCCTTACTAAATGCCGATCAACACATTAGGTGTCATTTTTGTTACTACACGTCAGGATGACTTTATGGTGTATTAACTCCATTTTAAAGACACGAGCTTAAGCTTTGGCAGTCTAAGCACCTAATATACACGCACAACAGGAAATGGAAGGGCAAAGTTCCAAACGAACTTTGTGGTCAAGTAACTTTCAATTAAGTAGACTGTTTTTAGTTGTTTGTTTGTTTTTTCTCAAGAAACCACGAGGCCACATGACACAGTCACTAAGCTTCTGCACTCAGTTTCCTCATTTCTAAGTTGAGAACAAGGCTACCCACAGCTGCCTAGGGGTGCTCACAAAGTAATGCTTGCGAGATACCAAAGAGTTCTCAATAAAGAGTACGGAATTTATACAATTTAACGGCAATTACTATCACTGTTATGATAATATTTCTTATGGCCAGGACTTCAAAAGGAATTCAGTCTGAGTTTAGGACACTTTAATAGTAAGTCTTTCAAACACAGAACAACTATTTTCCTGCCTTGATGCTCCCCTATTCTCTGTTATTTTCATTTCGTTAACCTTCAGCTAATAAATTTCTCTTTGGAAGAATATTTTCTACAAATAACTCTCAGAATTATTAGAAAGATAAACTTTCTATATCTCGCATTTCCCAAGGTCCGTAGAAGGTAGTGGTTGTGTGAGGGCGGTGGCAGAAAAGGATGGAAGTTTAGATTTCTGCACAAACTCAGGCAGCACTAGCTCTCTTTTCTGCCCGCTGTCCTCCCTTGTTATCTGCAATTCAGCCTTACGACATGGGTTCCAGCAGCCACACAGTCAGTGACACTCCAGAGATGGGAAGATGGTAGCTGGGAGCCAGACTTCCCACTGATGAGCACGGCTGTCCTTCCAACCTCAGGCAGCTTACACTTCTACTGGAGTACAGAGTAAGCTTTTATTTCATCTGGTTTTAGGAAACGGAGAGGAATTCTTTGTGGCTCGCATCTGACCATGACTCCTCATCCATTCTTATGTGGGAGATGATACTTAAGTCATGTGATCACTCTATCATGAGTCGCTTGGTAAAATTTAGATTTTGTGTTTATAAATTCAATTAACTGCTGAAATGAAGAATGAATGAGGAATCTACTTCTCCATGTTGTTTTCCACCTTGCTCTCGCTGACTTCACACATCATGTGTGGCTACTGAATAACTCTGTTATTTTCAATCTGGAGTGTTAGTAAAGCCTCTTAGTTTACATACCTATTATCATAGTTACCTATATAAATATATAATAAATATATATATTTTTTGTATTTTTAACATAATATAAATATGTCCAATTATTTCATTTTAGTTAATATCATTTTATTATATTTTTATTTTTGGTTGTTCTTAAGTAAACAAATTTGAAGTAAACAAATATTATCTGGTTCAATCATCACCTTTTAGTTTGATGATATTAAAAGATAGGCTTACAATTACTTAGTAGTAACGTAATAACAAAAATCCTGCTCTCCTAATCTCTAGTTCAACAAATCTAGGAGCATATATTATATACTTGCATATCGATAGCAATTTATTTGAATATATTAACTACTCTATAAAGCACAAAGAACTGTGTTTCAGACACTGGGAGTGATACCTGCTTCCAAATGTGAGCACTTTGTCCTACCTGGTCAATGAATTCATCTCTTTGGTCCATTATTATTTTCTGAGGAGGTCCATATAAGAAAAATATATTAATAATAGCTTTAGAAATTTCAGACGCTGAAACATCACATAAAGGCAAAATCATAATCCATTTTGTGAACAAATCAGTCACGATTATAGCATACACATGACTTCTGTCACTTGTATGAAAAGGTCCCATCAGATCAACAGTAACTACACTCCATGGGTTTCCCACCGTGAGAAGGTGCTGCTGAGGTCCCACCAGAACGGTATTTTTTGCTACTTGGCAATGCTGACAAGCATATACCTACAGAGACATGACAAGGAAAACACATATAATTGTTAAAATATTCACGGTAATAGAAATCAGTTTTATAAAGTGAAATCTTAAGCAGCCAACAGGTACTTTGTACTTTACAGGAAGTTTACTGACATGAGATAGCCCATCAAATAAAGCCTTTTATTTAGAACAACAAGCAAATATCAGTCACTACACCTGTGTGGCTAGTTAAGTCCAAACATCAGCACCACAGGGTCTCCTCACTGCTACCCTGATTAACGACAATCTCAATGGGGTCTTATTCAAATGGAACACAATCCTGATTCAAATTCAGATAAATATTAAATCAGCAGATCTCAGAACAAGTTTTTGATCATTTTGTTTTTAATTAATGCAAAAAGCTTCTACAGCTAGCTGTGTTAGCACATTATGTAATCCTTTACTTAGGACGCTGAATCCAGAGGGTTGCCATAGTCGAAGAGTCTGGGCAACATAGTAAATTCAAATACTGAAGAAAAAAAAAAGGAAAGAAAAGAAAGGAAGGAAGAAAGAAAGTAAAAAAACAATCTCTTAATAGGCTACCATGAAGTATTTCATTTTCTATAATTTTAAGCCAGCATGCATGGCTATGCAATAATGTATTCATACAAATGACATTTCTTCCTACAGTTTCTATTCTAAAGTTCATTCATCCATCTTTTTCAGTAATATTTGCTGAACTGTAATTTTAGTCAAATAATATCTAAAGATGCCAGAAACTTCTCTATATCCTGGTGAAAATCCAGGTCTCATGAAGCTTTTATTTAAATCAGCAGTTCTCAACCTGTGGGTTCTGATCTCTTGGGGTCACGTGTCAAATATCCTGCATATCAGATATTTACATACAGCAAAATTACAGGTATGAAGAAGCAATGAAATAATTTTATGGTTGGTGGTCACCGTAACAGGAGGAACTGTATTAAAGGGTTGTAGTATTAGGACTGATAAAAGGATTAAGAAGAGATCAATTGATTAATTTATAGATGATGTTATTTTTAAAACATTTCCAGAATTTCACTTTGGAAATTATTTTCAAACCAAGTTCTAAAAAAAAAAATTAAAAACAAAAATAAAAACACAAACCTTCATCATTATGACCAAAATAATTCTTTTTCAAGGTGATTGAAACAGTGATAGTGTTTGTATTCTACATAAAAGCGCTCCTGAAAATAGGAGTGGGCTAGTGAGCTGGGAAAGGGCTCATCACAATCATTCTTGGTGATCACTCTCACTTTCCAACTTAAATGCATTCACCAGTTAGAAACAGCCTTACTTTTTAAAATGAAATATTTTTATATTTATTTCACTGAATGCTGTGAAAGGACTCATGGAACACTTATAATTTGAGTATAGGTTACTACCATTTATATTTGACATTTTTCTATATTTGGAATGGCACAAAAGTGGAGAATCCATTCTGGGACTGATTTATTATGAGCATACTTATTTTGACCATATAGCATATAAAGTCATTCATGATGGCATTAAGAATATAATAGTTGGGAGTTGGAGAAATGGCTCAGAGGTTAAGAGCACAGGCTGCTCTTCCAGAAGTCCTAGGCTCAGTTCCCCGCACCCACATGGTGGTTCACAACCATCTGTAATGAGATCTGGTGCTCTCTTTTGGTGTGCAAGCATATATGCAGTCAAAACACTGTATATATAATACATAATAAATCTTTCTTTTTTAAAAAAAGGATATAATGGTTAGCAAAAGAATTTCAACCTCAATTGAATTCTGCCTGCAAAATGGAGATCAATGTTTCAATTCTCAATAATTTCCTATCAAAATATTGAATTTTCTTAGTTTATACTCTACTGATTTAAAATAATTATAAAGAGAAATAAATTTACCTTTGATTTAAATGTTTTCTTAGTTCAAAAATAACATAGAAAGTACTTACACCATAGGTGATATTTACATTATATTTTAAGCAATAGTGAAAATTGTATTTATTAGACAGACAATAAAAAATTACTGAAGACACAAGCCATACCCACTGTTTGACGTCATTGGTCACAGAAGTCCAGTAGTAACTTGACTCCACCAGAGTTAGAGTTCTGGATATTCCATGATGAACACCAGTGCCATTTTCATGGCATTCTCTTAGGACTTTCTTTTTTTCCTCGTCTGAAACAACTACCAGACGATTTTGTTTTCTGTCTTTTCCAACATAAAACAGCTTTTTGTCTGAAATGAATGACATAAAAAATATGTGTAATTTCAAAGCTACATAATGTTTAGGCTATTATAGGCTTAACTTAACCATGAAGACGTTTAGCTTTATTTTTACAAAATCTTTCTTTGAAACAGAATATTTACTTTCAATGCTATTGTCAAGTGTTCTGAAGACCAAAAGGACCCTTAGGTGCTATACTTCTGTAGGAAACAATGGAAATAGAGTAAGCATATCACTAAAGCATGTGGTAACTATGAGAATATGAAATGGCCTGTCTATTGGAGTACTCAAACTAGGGAGAAACTTGTGACAAATTAAGGAGTAACTGACAGTGGCTTAGGTTATAAAGTGAATTCTGTATAGATGAGGAGCTTTGTGATACAAAATGTTCTGAAAAACTCATTATAGCTGATCTCTGTAAGCACCCCATTCCTTCCCTTGTTCTGAGTTGAGTAAAGGGAGGGACAGCATAGTGAGAGGAATACGCTTCTCAGCTCTCCTTCCCTTTGAGGATATCTAAGCAGAGGAACAAGTAGGGAACAGGAGAATCACTAATTATCTCCCCAGTTCATATGGGTTAGCTATGCAGACTCCAGAATACATTATTAAGATACTAGGATTAATAAACACAGAACTTAAATTAGAAGGTAGGCAACTGGAAATCTGAAACCCTATCTTACTCATTAGTATATCCCTGGGCCAAGAATAAGATTGGTATACCAGAGAAACTCAACAAACATTTTAAATATAAATGATAAAATGAATGGATGGATGAATGAATGAATGAATGAATGAACCTCCACTTTAGTGTAAGAGGTCTGTCTATTGCTAAGAATAGGAGTAACTGGCAGGAAGCTGTATAGGAAGACATGAACAGGCATTGATTTATAACTTTAGAATTTACAACCTTATATTCTGACCTGATTTGGAAGAAGCCTAATGCTCTATCTCTAGGCAAAACTGCCATTAATAGCGTCAACACTCATTTGGTTATGTTGACTGTGCCTTCTAATTACCTCATGCTCAGTTTGCTTTCTCCACTGAAGGAGGCAGAAAGGAGGGAAAGCTGTCATAAGCTCTCATAATTGCCCTGCTGCTTCTCAAATATTTAATGTACTGATGGAGTGTCAAGGCAAGAAAACAAACACAATTCTGAGAAATAATTAATGACACAGTGTGGAGGGAAGGGCAGGTATGTGGGTAAACTCAGCTATGAATACAGTTAGATTCTTCCTTTCTTTTACTTAAACAAGCAAGCGAGTTCATTCTGTTAGCATTTTCATACTTGATGGAGGAAGGCCATTGGTTCATAAAGAAACTGCCTTGGCCCATTTGATAGGCCAGTCCTTAGGTGGGTGGAGTAAACAGAACAGAATGCTGGGAGGAAGAGGAAGTGAGGCGGATGCCAGATGCCATGCTTTGCTCTCCAGGGTAGTCTCGATGGAGCTCCAACCCAGGATGGACCGTGGTGCTACACACATTAATAGAAATGGGCCAGGCAGTGTTTAAATGAATACAGTTTGTGTATTGTTATTTTGGGGCATAAGCTAGCCAGGCAGCCGGGAGCTGGGTGGCAGGAAGCGGCCCGCAGCGCCCACTACACATACTAAGCATCAACTAACTTCCTCAACGCCGCGGCATCAGTGCCTGAAGGTCAATCAAGAAAAGATTCCCTAGGTGGCAACAGCAAGAGAAAGTAATTTTGTGATTTTCATGGTTAATTCTTTTGATCTACAATTTAATAAGTCATTTTCTTTTCTTATTTGCTTTTTTTTTGCTTTTATTTTAAACTATGTGTACATGTGTGTGACTATGTGTGGGTATGTGCACTTGAATGCTAGAACATGCCAAACTAGAGGCCAAGACTCCCTTGGAGCTGGAGTTAGAGATGGCTGTGAGCTGCCCAACACGGGACCTGGAAACCGAACTTGATCACTATGTGCTTTTAGCTCCTGAGCTATCTCTCCAGCCCCTGAATAGGTCTTTTTCATGCTTACCAGCCTTCAGTTAGCTTTACGGTGATTTTTATGTTACTTTTGAGCATAACCTTCTACAAATTTAGCAATAACTAAATACTAGAGAATTTCCCAGGATCCTACAAACACACATGGGAAGTAATCTATAATTTAAGATTTAGACATTAATTTTACCTTTGAAGACAAATTTCTTTGCTGCTCGTCTTATGCCACTTCTCTCACTTGACAGTGTAGTTGGGTGGTATTCACCTGTGCGCTTATAATAGGCAATCTGCTTAAGATGAAGGTCACCATTTTTCCCACTACGGACCATCGTGAACCTAGGTAAGATTATTTAAAGGCATTACTTAAATGACAGGCTAATTCCACTGCTATTTCAGTTCAGGCTTCTGTCACATTTCTGCTTATGCATGAATTGAGCATTCCCAGAATATTATCTGCGAGGGAGATAATTGCAATACAGAATGGGGACAGAGTGATGCCTACAAACTAAAACATCTGGATGCCACTTTTGAGATTCATCAAGACAAATTATCTTGTCTTCTTTCATGAGATGTAAGAAATGCTGAACATTTGGAATATGAGGGAGAAGAAGGAAATGAGTCCGTATACTTCAGAAGTTCGACTGGAGACACTTGTTGGCATCCAAAGAAAGGTTATTCACAAAGGTTGGCTTTGTTATGTAATATTTAAGGAGAAAAACACAATCTCACATTACTTTTAAATGAATTCACATTCAAGATTATTGCAAAGTAAAAACAAAACTCTACTGAAATCACATTTAACATCTTTTATAAATGCTAAAATTAAACGATAGCCATTTAGCAACCAGATTCCATATGCTCTAAACCATATATAAACCTAGCTTTCCTTTAATGAAAGAGCCCCTTTCCATTGTGAACTTCCATTAATATGGAACCATTTTAAAATAAAAGAATCTTTTCTCCACATTTTCATTGGCAAGAATGACACTATGGCAGTTATGTAGGTGCCTATCAAATCAACCATCCAAACCAATTTTTGGTCTTTCTTTCCTGGCTGCCATGTCCTACGACACTGACCTTGTGCGGACATATTAGCTGTTTTCCAATAGGAATTGCCCACCATAAGCAACGATAAGGGGAACCAGAATGCAGAAGAGGTCAGGGTATTTAGCTCTACAGAGTCCTGCTGCAAGCCTCTTACCCCTATCCTTTCTCTCACTGCAAGTTGACCTCCTTTCTCTCTGAAACTTGAGTCAGAGAGCAGTCATTTTCTTCGGCGCTGCTAATTCTCAGGTTTCTTTCTTTCCACACCTCTTAAATGGTTCTTTCAAAAGTCCCAAGAATGTATTTTCTTCTTCTTCCTGGAACTCCAATACAATTTCAAAATTCTGAAGACAATATGGATGTTTGCCACTCATTAAAACAACCTAGGGATTGTCATGACTGATCAACTTGACACACCAGGGAAGAGGGAGCCTCAACTGAGAAACTGCCTCCACCAGGTTGGAGGCCATTATACTATAAAGACTCCATAATGATAAGACAGTCCCATCAGAACCTACAAATAGGTTAATTCAGCTATAAAGTATTATCATCAAACAATGATTTGAACTCACGTTTTTGGAGACAGGGTTTTGAAGTAGCTCAGGATTGCCTTAGCACCTATCACCCTTCTCCCTTGGAGCCCTAAACCTTAAAAACAGAGGCACACATTGCCGTACCTTGCATGAGCCCACTTTGAACTGGAAATACTAGTCATTTTACAGTAGATGACTATCCTCCAAACAAATGACAAATGTAGCTATCACATTTTTGTAGTAATAAGGGGCAGCGGGGCTGCGTCCCTGGCACCCCAGCCTCCTGGCTAGCTTATGCCCCGAAATAACAACACACAAACTGTATTCATTTAAACACTGCTTGGCCCTTTAGCTCTAGCCCTTACAGGCTAATTCTCACACCCCGATCAACCCATCTCTAATAATCTGTGAGCACCGGTCTTACTAGGAAAGATTCAGCATGTCTAACCTGGCGGCTTGCTTCATCGTGTGCGTCTGCCCGGGAGAGCGGAGCATGGCATCTCTCTGAGGCGTCTGCTCCCGAGAGGAGAGCTGTGGAGTCTGAGCTCACTTCCTCTTCCTCCCAGTGTTCTGTTCTGTTTACTCCTCCCACCTATCTTCTAACCAATGAGGGCCAAGCAGTTTCTTTTTATTTAACCAATGACCTTCCTCCATCATATTTTCTAAAGCATCTCTAAAAGAATGACCCACGACAGGGCCCATAGTCAGTGATACAGTGCTTGAAAGGATGTATAAGGCCCTGGGTTTTAATCCTGAGTGCTACACATATGCACAGTGTACCCATACACACACAGACAGACACACTACCAAGTACAAGTTTCTAGCATATGCCAGACACAAAACTGGAGATAAAATAATGTTAACTTTCATGAAGTTTACACTATAGTGGGGCTGGAGATGAATTTGAAAGCTAAACTCAAGCTGCATTATTCATAGTGGCTGGAAAATACAAACTGGAAAGGATCCAAGTGCCCAGTGACAGATACATAATCAAAATATGGCATGTACACATAACAAACTATTATTATTCTGCCTTAAAAATGAAAGGAGATTCTAACACATGTGAAAATATGGATGAATCTTGTGGACAGCATGCTAAATGAAATTTTAAAAACGACACATATTGTCAAATGAACAGAAACAGACATTAGAATGGTGGTTCCCAGAACTGAGGTTATGGGTGGTTGGTAGATACATTCAGTTTCACACTTTCTTCTCTAACTCAGAAACATGCTTGGCAGTGGCAATAATAGCCTGGAGCCAGGACACTAGAGCTTTCCCCTGGGGTCCTGATATAAGGAGGAACATAGTTCCTTCTCTAAAACCTGGAATATGCTTGGGGCCAGGGATAGCTGCAGCTTCAGATCCTGAGAACCCAACTTCCGACTGTATGGAACCATGGTGAACAGTGCCAAGGCCTCTGTGTGCTTGTTCTGTGATTGTCTTGAGATACTCGGTGTTCCCTTTGTGCAACATTGCTTGATTAGCCTCCTGCTGACTTCGTCCCATTGGGTGATAGCTTTCCACTGACACTGTCCGATTTCTCCCCTAAACCTGTATATAAAATGCTGTACTTTGTAAACTTGCTTGGCACAAGCCAAGAAGATTATGCAAGATCCTGTGACCCTGGCTTCCTTATCTTCTCATTCTCTGGTCCTCCCACTTAAGACCCTTCCACTCAAGAACAATCTGTTGGTCCAGGTCAATATGATGGTTACTTTATTATAATTTAAAAAATCATTTAAAAAAAAACTATGTTTTAAATAGCTTACAAAGTAGTAGGCTTCCTTTATGTATTTTTCATTCCTACTTAGTTTCTTTTGACCTTACCTCTCATCTACTTCTCTCCCAAATCTCCCTAGTCCTCTTAAGCCTTTCCACCCTGGTTAGTCTCTTTTCCACGCATTTACCATCGCTTAGAACCTCCTTCTCCCCCTCTCAGGGACTCCTTTCTGCTTCCCTGCCCCCTATATGTAATCATTCCCAAATTAACACACTTAGCTCCTAAAATTAGAAGCTAACAAGAAAAGGCTCAAACATGGGAAAACACATATTTGTCAACCTGAAGTAACTTACTTAAGACAGTATTTTCAATTAATTCCTTTCGTTTGTTTTTGAAAATTTCTCTTATGGCTGAACAAAATTCTACGGTATGTATGTGTGGTGGTCTGAAGGAAAAGAGACCCTCAAAGGAGTGGTACTATTAGTAGGTGTGGCTTATTTGGAGTTGGTATGATCTTGTGGGAGGAAGTGTGTCACTGTGGTGGTGGGCTTTGAGGTCTCAGATAGGCTCCAGCCATGCCCAGTGTGTCAGACCAGACCACTTCCTTTTGCCTGCAAGTCAATATGTAAGAACTATCAGATCCTTCTGTAGTATCACATCTGCATGCTCGAGGCCATGTTCCACCATGACGATAATGGGCTAAACCTCTGAAACTGTTGGGAGCTGTGAACCCCCAGATCCTAAATATCTTGTAAAAAAAAATTATTTTCCCCTGATCTGAGTGCCTACAGCTGCTCTGAGCATGAGACCCTCAGGTGTTCCTGATGGCAGGGAATGGTTTCTGGTGCGTTTGGCTGGGGCATGGCTATCCCTATATAAGCTGCCCCTGGATACAATAAAGGGGGCATTCTTGTTTCAAGGATTTTAGCTCAAGGATGACCTGTGTTTCTGGCTCTGTGTGTCTTTGTGTGTTTCAATCTCCAGCCCCTTGCCCGATTCATGAACAGTATGGCGGTGCATAGAGCACAGACGGGCATGGTGCTACCCATGAAACTGTAAGCACTCCACCACAATGAAATGTTTTTTGTAAGAGCTGTCATGACCATGGTGTCTCTTCACAGCAATAGAAAACCTACAGATGCATTACCCACACTCTTTGATGGACATTTGTATTGATTCGCTTTCCTTATTATTGTGAATAGAAGAACAGCAAGCATAGATATGCAAATACCTCTGTGAAAAGATACAGAGACCCTTGGTATATGCCCAGAAATTACACAGCTAGGTCATACAGGAGTTCTGTCTTTAGTTTTGTGAGAAGCCCCCAAGCTTATTTCCATTGTGGCTGGACCAGTTTACAACCCCACCAAAACTGAGTAGTAGTTCCCTTTTCTCACATCCTTGGCCTGCTTTTTTTTTTATCACTGAATTTCTTGATGCTGGCCACTCTTACTGGGTAGAGGTGGAATTTCAAATTTGTTTTAACTTGCACTTATCTGGTGGGTAAAGACATGAGACAATTTTTTAAAAAATGGCTTTATTTGTATTTCTCTTTTGAGAGTTTTCTGCTCAATCCTTAAACCATTTATAAACCTGGATTATTTATTATTTATAATTTTGATTTCTTTGCATCTCTAGCAGATGTGTACTTCTTCGAATGATGTCCCCACATTTTGCAGGCTGTCTTTTCACCCAACAGCTCCCTTTGCTGTGAAGTGGCTATACTGGTTACTTTTGTCACTGTTGTTACAAAAACCATGGGTAGGGCATCTCAGGAAGTACTGGTTTATTCTGGTTCACAGTTGAAAAGCACGAGATCAAGACAGGGAAGTCAGTCAGCGGAAGTGAGGCAGCCGGGCACACTGCATTCTCCTAGCAAGCAGAATACTATGAAGGTTAGGACTGAGATGCCATCATACTAGGTCTAATTCCATCTAGTTAATTCCTCACAGGCGTTGAGATGCTTGCTTCCCAGGTCATTCTAGACAAAGCCTGTCAAATTGACAATACCAACTATTCCAGTGTCATTTTTGATT